CATTGAGCATGCTATTAAGTAAATCAGCTGTCAGGTGTTAGGAAGACTTATATCAGGTAAGGAAATGTCAACTTGACTTCCCAGTTTCTGCTTCATTATCTAATTTCAATCATGACCACGTTAAATGATGCTGGCTTCAACCACAGTCTCCCATAACTCTCCATCTATTAAGGCCTGTACTCTGAAGGAACGTATGTGTTCTCCTTCATTCATTCATGCGATATGGGTGTCACTCTCTAGGCCAGTATTTATTAACTATTACTGATTGGTCTTAAGAAGGTGGTGGTGAGCTGCTTCCTTGGATCATTGCAGTCCATTAGGTGCAGTTAACACCATAATGCTGTAAAGGAGGGAGTCCCAGGATTTTGACTCAGTAGCAATGGAGAAATGGCTACAAACTTCCCAGTCAAGATGGTGCATGACTTGGAGGGGAACTGCAGGTAGACACGTCCGCATGTACCTGCTGCCCTTGTCCTTCCAACTGATAGAGGATGTGGTTTTGGAAGGTGCTGTTCAAGGAGCTTTGGTGATTTGTTAAAGTATTTTGTAGATTATACACACAACCATCAATGATGTGAGGCATGAATCTTGAAGTCGGGGTGCCAATCAAGTGGGCTACTTTGTCTTGAACGGTGTTGAGATTCTTGAATTTCGTTGGAGGTGCATTCATGCAGTCAAGTGTGTGGCTGGGTGGAGATGCTTTGTGAAATCAAACAGCAAGTTACTTGCCACAGAATTCCCAATACCTGCCCTGTTCTTTTGCACGTATTTACATGGCTGATCTGGCTTAATTTATGGTCACTGATAATCCCTAGGATTTTGGTAGTAAACGTTTTGGCGATGGCATTGAGATAACTCCACAGAGGCCGGTATCCCATCACTAATTCACCTTTTATTTCACATGTGCAGTCCTTGACCCTAGTATTGCCTCTTTAGAGCCAGCTCCCAGAGTGTTAGGAATGTCTGACACTCCTGTTTTTATCTGCCATCAGGAATCCCTGATTGGACCAGATTAATAGCCCCAATCAGGGAACTCATGTTCTATCAGGTCCAGCTTAATGATCTCATTACAATCACTACGATAATGTCATTGATTTTCAAGGCTGTTGGTTGGAAATGATCATAACCTAGCAGTTGTATGGTGTCAATGTTACTTGCCACATATCTGCTCCAGCCTGAACATTATCCAGGTCTTGCTGGATTGGGAAATGGAGTGCTCCAGTATATGAATGGTGCTGAGCACTGCAAAATCAATGAATCGTACCTCTGACTTTATCTTGGAAGGAAAATCCTCAATGATCCTCAAAGAAGCTTTGAGGCTTGGGCACTACCCTGCAGGACTCCTGTGGCAATGTGTTGAGACTGAGATGACTGATGATTGCTGACTGAAATTTTGTCTCACTATTCCAAGTCACTGCTAATCAATCATGAGTTAGCAACCCAGTGGATTGACCACAAGTCTCCAATAATTGAACTCCAACAACCACTGTCCTTATTCTATTAGAGGGGAGGTAATGGCCTAGTGGTATTATCACTGGTGTTAACCCACACACCAAGATAACATTCTGGGTTTGAATCCCACCATGGCAGATGGTGGAATTTGACTTCAGTAAAAGATATCTGGAATTAAGATTCTAGTGATGACCATGAATCTGTCGCCATTTGTCAGGAAAAATCCATGTGGTTCACTCATGTTCTTTAGGGAAGGAAACTGCTATCCTTACCTGGGTTTGGCCTACATGTGACTCCAGACCCACAGCAATGTGGTTGACTCTGAAATGCCCTCTGGGCAATAAATGATGCCTAAAAGCGATGCCCTCATCTCATGAATGAATAAAACAAAACCTAATTCCATAACTGCCAGGGAGTTTCTACAGTGCCCACCCCCAGATTCTCATTGACGTTTTTGCTCGGGCTCCTTGCTACCACTCTTCATCACATGCTGCCTTGATGTCAAGAGCAGTCACTCTCACCTCAACTCTTGAGATCGGCTCTTCTGTTCATGTTTGAATCAAGTTCAGAAATCACATAACACCAGGTTATAGTCCAACAGACTTATTTGAAATCACAAGCTTTTGAGCATTGCTCCTTCACAGGTGGAGTGAAGGGAAGCACACAGGCGCAGAATTTATTGGCAAAAGATTGCACAAATATTTGGGCCAAGATGTCAGAAACCAAGTGTGCCTGACAGACTCAAATGAGTGTCAGTGAGCAGGGTATTGTTGGGTAAAAGCTACTTGACAGCGCTGTCACCAACAGCTGCCAGGACTTTGTTACTGATCAAAAATAGGCTGAGCAGTAATTGGCTGCGTTTGATTTGCCCTTCTTTTTGAGGACAGGACATACCCAGGTCAATCTTCCACATTGTAACGTAAATACCAGTCATCATCAAAGACCTCTTTAAACACTGGTTATAATCTCTTCCAACTTCTTCCATTGGGCAGAAGATACGAAAGCTTAAACACACGTAGCAACAGGTTCAAGAACAGCTTCTTCTCTGCTGTTATAACAAGGTGTAGAGCTGGATGAATACAGCAGGCCAAGCAGCAGAGGAGCAGGAAGGCTGACATTGAGCTTAGACCCTCCTTCAGAAATTTCTGAAGAATTTCCGATTTCTGAAGAAGGGTCTAGGCCCGAAACATCAGCCTTCCTGCTCCTCTGATGCTGCTTGGCCTGCTGTGTGCATCCAGCTCTGTACCTTGTTATCTCAGATTCTCCAGCATCTGCAGTTCCTGCTATCTCTTCCCTGCTGTTATTAGGCGTCTGAATGGAGCTCATAAATTTCAAATCTAATGTTGATCTTGCTTTTTGTGCACCTTCTCTGCACTGTAACATTGTATTTTTTGCTCTGTTCAAGCACACTATGAACTTCGTATGGTACGATCTGCCTGTACTGCACGTAAAACAAAATTTTTCATTGTGCCTCGGTACACGTGACAATAAATCAAATCAAATAGATGTGTCAACATAGAATACTAACAGAAACTTTACTATTCATTCTCTCTGTACCCACTACACAGTGGTAGCCATGTGTGTCATCTATAAGCTACGTGCAGCAACTTACCAACATTTATTTAAATCCTCCCAGAGACACTAATCTCTGTCACCAGGGGGAGTAAGGACAGCAGATTCACTGGCCCACCACCATCTGGATGTTACCTTTCAAGTCACATTCCCTCCTGACTTGGAGTTATATTGCTATTCCTTTTACTGTTGTTAGTTCAAGATCCTGGAACTCCTGCACTGATGATGGACTTGCACATTATAGACTACAGCAGGCTGACCCTCAATGAACAGAAGTATTGAAAGTGAGATAAACAAGGTGTAGAGCTGGATGAACACAGCAGGCCAAGCA